TCTAGAATATGTTAGGTGAAAAGTTGAAAATTAAAAAAATTGTCAAACAAATGGAATATTTCTAGCTATAACACCATATATTTTTTTATAACAGGTGAATGCATTGCTGAACTGATCTCACCAGAAGATTCAAAAGAAGAAGTTGTAAAAATTCAAAAAGGGGATACCCTACCAATTACCGTGGGAACAGTGTCATGGTGGTACAATGCTGGTGATTCTAAACTCACTATAATTTTCTTGGGAGAATCATCGGATGAATACACACCTGGAGAATACTGTTATTTTGTTTTTAACTGGAGCTGCTGGTATATATAATAAACGGATTCTCTAATGAATTAATTGCTAAATCTTTTCACATGAAGAAAACTGAATCTGAAAAACTCATAAAAGACCAAAGTAGTTTAAATCTTAAGATAAACGAATGTATACCAATTCCAAACCCATCCAATAGCGCGAAATGCAAGTTGGTTTTCAACTTGGATGATGCAAAATCTTGTATTGATGTAAAAAAAGGGGTAAAGAACATAGCGTTGCTTGGAGAGGTTGGATTAAGCGCGAATCGCGTAGTTTTGGAAGGTGGTGCTGTACTTGGTCCGATTTTTACAGCGGATTTTTCAGTTCAATTGAGTTATGTTATGAAAGGGAGTGGACGTGTTGTAATTGTGGAACTTTCAAGTAAGGTTGTGTTGGATACTAAAGTGGAAGAAGGAGAACTGTTTTTTGTACCAAAATTCTTTCCGTTTATTGTGGAAGAGGAATTGAGTTCTTGTCCTTGAAAACGTCGTCAAAGTAAGTACTTAATTCTATCATGTAACAAACTTATGCGTTAAATAGAATGTCATGTAACTAACTATATGTATATTTGCAGGCCAAGTATATGGAGAATTATCAGGTGGGGAAATATCAATTTGGGAAGCAGCATCTCCATCAATTTTAGAGGCTTCTCTAAACATGCCTCCAGATTTGACTGAATCTTTAAAGTCCAAGATTGCTAACGGTTCAGTGATTGCCCCACCTTCAACTACTTAAGTAATTACTACTTGTTAGACATATGAGTTTAACAAGTGTATAATACTATAGTAATATGTAATTCTAAGCTTGAAAATAAGACCGAGGATGAAATTGTTGAGCAACTAGTTAAATATACAGGTGTTGATTAGTTAGAAGTTAGTTAGAATAAATTAACAAAGTGTGAGTCACTGTTAGTTAGTTAGTATCAGTACTTTTCTCTTCTATATAAGTAGATAGCTTGTAACAAATTCTATTCATTCAATGTAATTTTTCCTCTTTCACTTTCACTGATCTTAACATGGTATCAGAGTAGGGAAGGCGATTCTAGGGATTTATCAGGAATTGAAGATAGATCGAGAGATTCTGCCGGAATTGTTTCAGAATGGTGAATGAGGATGGATTGACGGGAGCATCTACTGACAGAGCTTCCACAGATCGTGATAATGGAATCAATGGAGGTTTCGTGACAATTGATCACAATCACCCACTGCATTTAAGCTCATCTGATGTA